CGTCGCGATCTACATCTCAAGTGACTACATCGTGAGACAAACGATAATACACTTTATTATTGCATCCACCACGATGAATAACAACAACCTTTTCCTAGAAGTTTTTCTTGTTGATAGTTTTTTCACTTTCATACTGTTTCATATTTAATCTTAAGTTTCGATTGCAGTCCTTGAAATTTAGGAAGTGTTTGGCTTCTTCTCCTGTCCCACAAGAAGAATTTTCCAATTACTATGAAATAGTTTAATAAATTTGATAGAGCATTGTTTGGATAAAACTCCAAATAAAACGTTTTGTGCAGAAAGATGGATTGGCTGATCCAATAGATGGTACCAGTACGATTCGAAATCAGTCCAGAACGTTTTGGAGTGAGGGCATTCATAGAAAAGGTGATATAAAGTCTCAGGTTCATCATTACAAAAAGTACATGCATCATTAATTCTAAATCCAATTTTGCATAGTTTGCTGTTAGTGTAGGGAATAGAATTAACTACTTTGTATTGGAAGGCCTTGACTGTTGGTATCATATTGGAGAATGTCACACACGGCGTTACTTAAAACTTTTGACGACAGTTCAGTCGAGGGAACAGACTTGAACACTCAAGAACACTCTGAAAAGTGTGACGTCACATAACACAATAAGAACACATGATAAATAAGTAAATATCACCACTGCCGCAATGGGTTTTTCGAGGCCAGTGGGAACAAATGATGAAGCACATAATGAAATGGACACAACAAGGCAAAAACAAGACAGACCAGTTGGATATTTACAAGAGTAACAGAGGAGTTGAACTCGGGACCAACAAGAACAACACCAGCTTGTGGTCAAAACAGGCCATTAATCCCCATTCCCTCCCGTCCCTATCCAACCCCAGGCATTGTTTTTTTTTTTTCAAAAGGATGGTAAATTCCCCAGGGTTGGGACAAATAAGTGGGTCCACTAACCCAGGGTGAGAACAAAAAAGAAGGCAAACGCCCCATCCCCTGGCCATGACACTGCTAAAATTTTCATGAATCGTAGATGAAATGGAGTTATTTCATTTGATCAATATGTGATACACAGGAGATGAAATTGATAAGAGACCAACATCATGTTTGCGTTCTCCGCCACATGCGAGGCCAAGATCACAAGGGTACCAAACGTTCTGGGGATGTCCCAGGGGTAGGAAAATGCCCGGCCCCAGGGCAATAATAAAATCTCAAATCGGGATCAAGACGAGAGCAAATTCTCGGCTATTCCCGCCGGGGATGTGGATGGGTACTGCTTGACTTGACTGATGCATTAGCTCTCGTGTAGATCTGTTCGTCTGATTACGTAACGTCGATGTGCACGGATGGCAACTTAAGAGTTGGCATCGATGAAGATCTTAACAAATACTTGAGAAAATGTTATGAGATTGCCTGATATGCCGCTCAGACGCGTACGTCATGTAGTGGCAGTGAAATGACGCGTGAACAGAAAATTATGGTAATACTCCGCATGTTTTGTGTTTTCATTTTATTTTTACATATGTATATATATTTCCTTTCGAGTTGTGTTTTTCTTTCTTTGTATTACAAAATTGTACTGCTAGAACATATTTTAATTTTAATGAGACAGAGTTTTCACTTTTTTCACAGTAATCCTGAAGTAAACCCAATTGAATCCTATTAAACAGTGAATAATTCATGATGTGATATTGTAAGATCCCTCAAGATGTCACTGGTCAATTTATCAAAATTGAAATTATGATCAGCAAAATTCACTCAACGTTTGCTGTTTCCGCTTTATCTAATCAGCTCCATTATCTTAAAAACACTGAGCGAAGCAGTGATCGCCGCCGACAGCGATCTGTAGACGAAATGATTTTAATATAGTATACTCAGACACTAAAACAATCTTATGGACTTTCAACACCAAAAAGCGTAATTCTATTTATAAAAGTATTTTATTATTATTTGCGCTTCAGTTATCGCTCCAATTTTCGACTTTTTTCTTATCAATTTTACATGTTATATTTACAGTCGATAATCATTTCAGGTGGTCATGGTGAGAGCGCTCTCTGGTAAACATTTTAAACCCAAACAGAGCTCAAATTAAGTTTTTCCTCATTTTAAAAAACGCACGTGAAATTTTAAGCCGACTCTTTGTAGACGGAAGCCGTATTTTGGCGCAGTTACCCAGGAATACATTTTCAGTGCCAAAGTGAGCGTCCCTACTACAGTGCGATCACTGAGAATTAATTTTGGTCGATCACGGTATTTCTTTTACCACATCATGCACAATTCCTCCATGGTCTGACGCAGTAAATTATCCCTTATTATATCGACAGCTTTTTTCAGCGAAGGGTCAATTTCTATACAAGTCGCTGGCCTGCGCTTACTTTGGTCGCATTCCAAGAACTCCTGAGCCTCTTTCGTCAGTTCAAGCCTCTCTAACAGATGTACAGTATCACATTCTGTCATTTGAATGTCTTCGTTGGACAGGCTCGGTTGTTTGTTATCAGCAATAGCATCTTCAGCTAATGTTGAACTTGCTGTACTGGTGTCGGACACGAACACAGTCTGCTTTTCGGTTTCATTCTGATTCTCGACCGCAATTGAAATGTCAACGAACGAGGTTGTTGAAAAGCTTTCTTTATTTCTCGCTGGATCTGGGATGTTTATGGTGGTCGGTGAAGGCGGCGGCAATGCATGATCTGAGCGTTTCCTCTGAGGAGACATCCTTCGTCGACTTTTCATCTGGTCTTGGGCCGATATCGGGACTTTTCCGCCATTTTCCGGAGGTAATTGAGGGGACGAATATCCGTTCTGAGCCCTCCATGAGTTTGTTTTTCCTATCGGAGGTAATACTGTGTAGGAGTTTGGAAAGTTAATCGGTGCTTTCTCGACATGTTTTACCGGCGCTTTTTTGCTTTCCGTCTTGTGTCGCGGTGATGCACTCCCATTCCGACTGTTTTGCGATAGAGCGTCAGAGATTTTGGGAAATGAAACAGTTAAAGTTTCTTTCGACCTCGTAGCTGAATGTGAGTTACCTTGCCCAACGCGACCAACTAGCAACTCGTTCTTTATAATTGGGGGCAATTTCACTGCCCGGCTGTTCAGGTCGAAATGAGGAAAATGTCTTTGATAAGAAAGTTCTCCTTTACTCTGCGTGGATCTTGAGGAACGAATTTGCTGTCTCGAATACACGTGTGACATCGCCGACAACTGTTAAAAAGTAGCTTGCTTGTGTGTGTAAATATTGTCTTACATAAAGTTTTGGGACGGTTGGTCTCGATAAAAATATCGCTCGCAGTCAAAAGTAATACTCCGCTGCGTGAAATGTTAATCTGCATGGAATTAACATCTAGTCGGCAGCTGTTGCAATCGAAGCCCTTTGCTCCCTCCGTTTGTCAAATTTTAATTACAGAATTGTTAATTCGACTGGGGAGAACTGAATTAGAGATGTACACCGAAAACGCATTGACCGAATCGTCCAATGGTCTGAAACAAAAAAACAAAAAGTGCATTTATGAATTGTTATAAGAGGAAATTGACAAATAGGTTTTGCGATCAGTCGATTTGCTTTATATTTCATTTGAATACCAGGAAGAACAGTTAGAGCGAAGACAGGTGTTCTGTGTTAATTCAGTTCCGGCGTTTCGTCGGCGTAGAAACGCCAAGTAAATTCAACATACAGCCACTATGAAAGCAATTCTGATTTCTAATTCGAGTTGAAAGCTGGAGAAGTTCATGTTGACAGAAAAAGATTATCATTTAAAACAAACGGGAACCTTCAATAATACATTTATTGACAATAAATATGTGATGATATATTTTTATTAACACAGATGAGTCGCAAAAAATGGCCAAGTTGGGACAGGAGAAATCTGTCACCAATTTACATGGAAATTGCCCCCACTTTCAAATTAAACTAAATTATATTTCTACATTTGATTTTTTTTTTTCCATTGTCACAGTCCTTGATGTCGGCGGTAGATTGTAGGTTTAATTTTTTATTTATTGTTGCTTTTTTTAGATATGCCAGCTAAGCTTCATAATCTGTTAATGAGCGAAAGAAAGGGCTTGATCAGCAAACCTGGTTTTTGTTTGACTGTTCTCGGAAATTCGTGTGAAGAATCGGTTTTCAGAATTCTTAAGCACGGAAAAAAAATCACCTTGGAACACTAACTTTGATCCTCCATTGTATCCCAACTGTTCATATATCATTTCAATATAAAATTGATTAAATTTTCACGAGCAAAGATGTTTATATTTACCTTCAAACCCAACACAAAGTCTTCCAAGGCGTTTTTTGCTAGCCGCAACCTAGAAAAGAACGTTGTTGTCTCTTGATGCCCTCTAGCTTCATCATGATTACGATGCAACTTTTTCAAATCCTGCTTTACCCCTCCCATATGGTGTCGAATACCCCATCCCAATATCAACCACAGGCGTCAAATTCCCGCCTCCGGGTCATATGAACTTGTCAACTGCCCGGAGTGTGCCGTGCGGGGGGGTGGGGGGGGGGGATGTTGATGTATCTATTAGATCGATACATTACAGAATACTTTTTTGTGTGATTTGAATACTCGTTCGATCACCGGGTACTCCACTTTCCACGATTCTATCGCGAAGAAAAGCTTCAGTTTCTTATATGTGACTGTAGAATTTACTTCATTGTGATTAGCTGAGAGCAAGCCATTTTATTGCGTGCTTTTCCGTAATTTTCTCAGTCGTGTAATAAATAAGTAATCTTATGAAAGCTCGAGCAATGCACTGACTTGTGGTATTTGATTTTTTTTCCAAATTGCACTCGCCTGAAGGTCCGTGCAATTTTGAGAGAATCTCCAAACATCACCCGTTGACTTAATTGCACTCGCATTCAAACGATCACCTATACATGTACTAATGGAAGCTGACCAATTCAAGAATGACATTTCTTTTCCTGTACCTAAGACACAGAAGATAAGACAGCCTCCGCAAATCCGGCGTAATTATAAACCCATTCAAGAGTTGAACTGGAGCTTTTCCGTTGAAAGCAAACGAAAGTGACTAAAGGATGCTGTTGAGTTTATTTTTGCCGGTTCTTTGTTCGTTCTTTCATTTTCGCTTTAAAGTGACCTAGACATCCCAGGAAACCATGAGGTCGACATTACTGATATTTCAGACACAAGTACAATTTTCAAACACTTTCAACGCATTTAACTTTCAAGGTTCCATGTAAACCCTGTAACCATATTTGATCACAATGCTTCCACAACTTGCAAAACCCGGAAAAAAAATATTGTACCGAAACAACTTTGGTCTTAAAAAGGTTGTTTCAGTTGACACTCTGTTAATGTGAAAACTAGCTTCTTTGAGTCTGGGATCAATTATACTCCCTTCCAGCCTCTCAAACACATAATGGCCATGTTAGCACGTGCGGCTACAGTAAGCTTGGGAGGAGTCTGGGATAAGAAGCATTACTGTTCAGGTTCCCGCCCTTTCCCGCCATTCCCTCCATGTGTAGAGAGAGAGATAATTCAAGAATGAGCGGGACCAGGAAGCTAACTGGGAATGCGGCCCTTCCATTTCGCCCGTTTGCTTTTTCGATCGTCTCTTCGTACTGACCGACAGCCTAGAACAGGCATGCAACCTACAACATAGACACACTTTGAACTCCCGGGGGAACTCCATGTAAAAAGGACGGGGGTGCTCGCAAGAAAATTTGAAAAGAACCCCTAAGAGGTACCAAAAGCCTGTTTTGTGGGCGTGGCTTGAAATGATTTTCACCCCCAAGAGGTACCATCACATCCCCTAAGAGGTACGACATCCCCTAAGAGGTACAACATATCTCCCGTCATTTTTTTTGGCTCGATACCCTAAAAGGTACTGCAAAGGCTGCCGCTGTGGACCTTTTGAGGCTGAACACCCTAAGGTACCAAAACCGCGATTTTAACCCCTCTAAAACGTACTACGAGCATCCCCGTTATTTTTATATGGGAGTTTGAACTCGTCAAGCTGTCTGCTCGCACATGAGCCTAATAAGTGTCCAATAAGTAGGTTGCTCTAGCCTGTGTAAAGCCTCCCAGTTACGGGCGTTCAAATCCAAGATATGTCCGCCAGCTTGGAAGGTTGCCATTCGCATGCCTCTATAAGTAGATTCTTTACGCATGACAAGCACATACCATTAAATGTGGAACAGAGAACGTGACCTAACCTGTAAATAGGTCTTGGGAATTAAACAATTGTACAATTATACCATTTTCAATTCAATTCTTTATCGACAAGAAGATATCTGTGGCGAGTGCCATTTAGCAGTCTCCTGTGGGATTGTTACTAGGGACAATACACCTTCTGGTCTTTTGTTTTATTCCCAGTAACAGTTCCACAAGCCACTGCGAGACGAGAAAACTTGCCCAGGTTCTTCTCGTTTCTAACGTGGCGAAAACACACTGTAAGAACAAAGAATTGGTAAGGTAAGGTTAACTCTGCATGCGAGCCAAGCCGGAGTTTATCCCAGTTTCTGTAGCATGAAATGACTAGGAGTATTTCTACTCCCCCCTGGATGGGATGCTAGTACATCGCAAGGTTACCCCCAGTATTAAGTTCGTCGGTACCCATTTATACACCTCGGTGAAGAGAGGCACTGTGAGAGTTAAGTGTCTTGCACAAGAACACAACACAAGGGCCGGAGACGAGCGCACTAACCATGAGGCCACCGCGCCTCACAAAACAAGAACAAGAACAAGAACTGACATTTCAATATTTCATTTAGACAATAAATTAAATAAATAAATTAACAAACGGAAAGCATTGCTATGTTGCTTTGAGCATGCAGGTCTTTAAAAAACGTATCACAAAAACTTTGAGTAGGCCAGTAATGTTCGTAGTACAGGATAACCCTGTAGGAAACAATTAAACTAAAAAAAAACACAGAGCTGCCTTGTTGACATGAATTCAAGATTAAATCTCTCAGAAGATTTAGGAATTTACAACAAAGGGAGTTTGTTATTACTTCTTTACTTACAGACACTCATACTTGTTGCTACGCAACTCAATTCAACTGCTAGAATACGTTCATCCCCTGATCGAACAAATAAATATCCCGTTCCCTCAGCTAACGATTCCAAATATTCCTGAACAATTGCTTGATGCAATTAAAAACACCTGGACTATAATACATTTGATTGACTACCTACAATTACCAACAATACTTAAGAGCTTTTGCCCACTACTGTTTTGGTTTAAGAAATCGTTTACATTTACATCAAAGCTCAGTCAAGATTTTTGACACCTAAAAATAAGAAATTAAATTGTTTCTTACAATTGAAACATATTAAATGAGGAGTATATCAATTTAGAATGACTGATGGTCTCCACTGAGTTTATAACGATATTTATAATTATATGTACATTGAACTAAAAGTGTAGATTATAGATATTCTAACACAATACCTAATGAATAAACGATTGATCACTCTCTCAAGACCGTCCTTTATATCTGAAATTGGTATAAGATAAGATGTGAGTTACAATGATGTACAATATAAATAGAAGCTGTAAGTTTAACTGTTCCTTCCGAACATACATGTAATAGGAGATAACTTTTGAGGGACAGGTGCTTATCAAGGCCAAGCCTTTTTATACTACAGTACCAGAGTTCCGGCGTATCTGGTCTTCTGCAAAACTCCATCCTGGGAGATTGATTTTGTAGTGTTTTCTCTATTACTATAACTTTGTGTATACCACATGTCAGTTTATGTGTCTTATAAATAATAGTTGGAGCAGAGATTACTCCATAACAGTCGCTCACAAAACACTTCGAAAGATGACACCAGCCCAGCAGTCACCTTGAATGGTTTCCAAACTTTTGTAAATCTACTTCAAGTAAGTTTTAAACGGATTGTGTTAGGGATAAGAAGGTGAGACTAAACTCCTCATTTAAAATTTACCCACTTCAAATGAAAATAACATTTAAAAAAAGATGTCGCAAAATAATGGAATAGAAAACTTATCTCTAAACTCACTTTGAACTCCAGTCAGTTCCAACACCCAAGCGTGCCCCAGGAGGCTGGTAAATATTTGTACCACTACCTTGCTTGGTAAGTATTGGTGGTTTCCAGCCAATACCTACAGTTATAAATACAAGAGAATGGTCAAAAGAATGCAATGTGGAATGGATAATAACCAATCAGCTGGTAGCGTCAACCCAGGGATCCAATCACAGGCATCACGTGACACTACTTGCGCAAGTCCCAGAAGATATGGGAAAATATTTCTTGCAGTTAAATGTTATTTTGTGTTAAAGGACCTGAGGCAAGCAGTTTGCTTTGCCAAAAACGAAGATGCAGTGACTAACTGAATTACAGTAGATGACCATTATGCTACTTAATGTTAAATAACAAGATGCACACTAATTGAAGATCACTGAATTGTGCTGAATGGGCCTGTTACATACCTCCAACACCACCAGCTCTGTTTTGTGTCCCACCGCCAAAAGATGGCACGTACGTGCTGCCTCCCACAGCATTCCCTGTCTTTCCATAGGAGACTTTTCTAGTGTACATTGAGGGCGCTGGGTTGTGAGTCACCTGAGGTTGCGCGTTCATTGTTGAACCAGGGAAGTATCGAGCTTGTTTCATGTAATGCTGTTTGGCACTCGGTGGTGTCTTTCTGTTAACACCTGAATCGCGTTGCACACTGTGAAATCAAGGGGCATGTAAATTAGTTTAGGACATATCTTTGTTAGAGCTCAGCCCGTGTTTAGTCAATTCTACAGTCCACCCGCTCACTTGGCTTGAAATCGTCTCCTTGTAGACCTTGTTTTCTTGGTAGGTGTTGTACCCAGATACCATTCCCTGGTTTTCCCCATATATTTATGGCCTGAGTGCTTCATGCATGAGCCATTAGCTGACAAGATAAATAAAACTCAGGGTGGTGACTTGTGGTCAAGCCTTGACCAGAACTTTTGTATTGTGGCCTTGGACAAGATGCTTTATTCTCACAGTGCCTCTTTTCACCCAGTTCAGCAAATTGGTACCCACAAACTCTTAGAAAATACTTAACAAAATACTGGGGTGGGGTGGGGTGGAGGTATCTGCAACAATTAAGCTGTCCATCCCAGGAGAATAGCAATACTACCAGATGCTCAATGCTATTGGAGCTCAGCACCACAACTACAGTAAGCTTTCTGGATCCTTCAATCCATTGGCTTGGTACAAATCTTTGAAATTATTAATATCAATGATCAAACTTAACTAACCTTGAGAAGGAATCAATTGGGTCTGTCCTCTGAACAGGAGGCTTCAAAAGTAACATTAGATTAGTTAGACAGTATAGTTTGAATCTTGATTTCTCAAACCCTTGAATATCCTGATAACTACAGCCAAAAGTCGTTTTGTTTTGATTACTCTACTCAAACACCATCTTTTCACTAATGATTTCTCAAACCATCGATACCATAATGATTGAATCGATTTAGCGCCCAGGCTCGTCTTTACTTTTGCTACCTCAAGGGAGGGCACTTATTTGAGACAGGGTGCTTATTCAGGACAGGGAGCTTATTTCTTTTTTGGGAAACAGCTGAATGTTCAAAACTGTAATACAGTATGAACCCCTGTTGATATGTCCCCTGACGTCTCTCTAATATTAAAATATTAGAAGAGTGGCACTTACTAGGACGAGGGCACTTATTGGAATGGGGGTGCTCATTAATAAAAACACATTCGAAGGGGGTGCTTATTTGAAAGGGGGCACTTACTGGAAGGAGGACCCTAAATTGAATCATTACTGTAATTCAAAACTTCCACAAACATGAAACCATCTGGGATCCTGCGGGATGGATTACTGGATTACTTGAGCCTTTGAAAATATACATGTAGAAACTATTCCCACCTCCATTGAGGCAAATTAACACTACCAGACAAGTTGTGGTCTCTGTTTTTAACATTGCATTGCACATGTATGTTGTGATTGCAAGATCAAAAGTATCTTTCATAAGACATTCGGCTTTTTCGCAAATGATCCACACATTCATAAACTGTGCGACACAAACATTTCCAACAATGTAAAGAACAGTTTGTCAGTTGAAATACAGAAAAGAGGCAAGAGCTTAGTACTTTTCACTGATTTGACATGCATTCTTTCAGTCTGCTTACAGCTGTAAATGAAGGTATGAGTGAGGTTCAAACATTACCCAGGGGCAGATCTAGGGGGAGGGTGCGGCTTTCTAATATAACTGGTATTCTGCAAAAAAACTATGTGGTTTATTAGTGTTACCCCATTCCTTAGTGGTGCACCCCTGGATCTGCCCCTGTTACCTTTTCACCCTGTTGTATTATATATCAAATAACAATGACTGTGTTTGAGCAACTTTCCAAACACAGAAGAGGTTGAAACTACAATGCAAAGTGGAGCATTTTTGAGAGAATTTGGAAATATGGTCAAACACTGTCTTGAATGTTTGATACATATGTATACCTTCTCAACTATATCTACAACTTAAAAACTTAAAGAGAAAATGGAGAATAATAATTGTAACTTCTATGCTAATTACGATCAGATATCCAAACACCATCATGGTTGTTGTTTCCTTTGTTTAAACTTGATGAATATTATTAATGGTTGAAAAAATATCAATAGCACCAACCTTCTTAGTGAATGCTGATGTATTACTTGTATCAATCTCACTAAGCAGGGATTCAAATTCATCAGTGCTGTCTTTAACTCCACTGCCTTCACCCCATCTTTTCCGGGCACTCCCATAACTAAGGGCATTGCCAGCCTTTGCCACAGGAACTTTTCTGACAGTACCTGCCTCTCCACCAAACCTCCTGTTTTCATTTCCACTACCAAAGCCCGAATTGACAGAATCTTTCCTCTCTTGAACTGGCTGTTGGTATTGTTGTTGTGGTGGTTGGGGAGGCTGTCTTTGCTGTAAAGGTTTTATTTGTGGGGCAGGTTTAGGCAGGTTTTGCCCAACTTGGAAGTAAGGATATTTCAGTGCTTGTGCGCATGTTGGTCGCTTTTTTGGATCCCACAGTAGCATGTCTCTCATCAACTGAATGGCTTCAGGGCTGGCATTTGGAATCAACTCTTTCAAAGGTGTTGCAATCTGAGAACAATGTAACATTATGAGAGATTTTCCAAGCTGAGTCTAAGACACTTACAGTAGAACCTTGCTTGCTCAAACTTGATTATCTTGAACCGGGGCGGGGGGAATCCCATATGAAAAGGACGGGAGTGCTCATCAAAGATTTTGAAAAGAATCTGTATGAGGTACCAAGATCCTGTTTTGTGAGTGTGACTGGAATTTTTTTCACCCCAGAGGTACCAATTCTAAAACAACACATAAACTGACAAATATGACTTCTTTCTGCTCAATAACCCAAAAGGTTAACGGCTACTAAAGCTCCCACTGAGGACCTTTTAAGGTTGAACACCATAAGAGGTGCCAAACACGCATTTTTAACCCCTAAAAGGTGTGGGAGTTCCCCCCTCTAGGTCTTCAACTCCCTGGTATCTGAGACTCAAATCATTTTCCTTTAGATATAAATTTTCAGTCACATATTATCAGC